TTGTCTCGTGTCGGGAAACAATATGCCGAATGAAGATTTTTGCCGAATGGCCCTGCGGATGTGGGCAAGAATCAGCATCGCAGGGAATGTCACTGGTGCTCCTTTCTTGGACCCCAGGTGTAAGGCATGAAATGCCTCCTGAGGAAGATCTCCTACTTTGTTCTTGTACATCCTGTGCACTTGCCGAGGAGGTTGGAGACAAAGAGTGATCTGTAAGACTCAGGGCGGCTAGCATCAGATTGCCCCTTCCATGCGTCGTACAACAATCCACCTCTCCAGTGGAAAGGTTGCTGTAGTCGGGCAACTGATTTCAGCATCAAGGCATGGACTGCCCGTGCCATCTCCGCCGGTACCGCCTTAAGCAATTCCGCAGGCACCATATCAGGTCCAGTGACTGGCTTTGCCATTCGGCAAGGACCGCAAGACCGTTTCGACTTCAAGCGGGGATAGAAGCTGTTGTAGCTCCCAGTCCAAGTCTTCATCCTGTATCACGGCTGGCTGTGGCTTTCCCAGGAGGTCCTTGAGCGATACAATGTGGCCGCATTCTTGCGCCCCGAAGTGGCGCAGCCACAGAGCATCAGAGCATCCCTGCCCGCCTGGTCCGCGACCGGTCGCTCATCCTCATCAAGCAGGGTTGGCAGGCGACGGCGGCAAGGCTGCTTATCCTTGCGGCCCAGGCCAGCTCGCTTGAGGTTCGCGAGCAGCGATTGGCTCCTGTTTGCGGGTCGTACCCCTGCGCTGCCGTCTGAAGGAAGGCATTCTTTGCACTTCGGATTCCTTTCTTGAGGAATGTGGCTGTTTTAACAGCAGCAGCAAACCATCCATACAGCAATTGTTGCTTGCGGACAGCAGCTAAAAGGAGGTCACTGCTAGCGCCATAGTGCCAACAAAGGACGACCGCCTGGAGTAGGACTCGCCATCCACGGCGCAGGTGTCCTGTCCTCTCCTTCAAGGCCAGCTTGCTCGCCCGGGTTTTGCACAGGTGGTCCGGCACAAAAGAAGCCCTCGGAGCATCACTGGGCTTACGGAAGTGCCCCTCCAACAGTTCATGCAAATGATCAAGCAGATGCTGACAATGGTGATCGGGATGCAGGGACCATACAGGGGGTCTGTACCTTCTGAGGCTGTCAGCAATGATCCGCTTTCCTTCGACTGATCCCATCTTTTCACGACCATAGGAAGGTCGTCGCAGCCTTGACTTGACTCCTCCTTTGCAGCGAGCCTGCAGATGGAGCTGGACCAGATGATGGTCCTCGTTGGGATTCATGGTGTCAGAGTCATAGCGGACCTCACTGACAAGTCCAAAGCACTCCGAGGTCCCCCCCAGGAGGACGTAGTCCAAATCTGTGCCTACCTCCAGATGGGTGACAGTAGGTGAAGCTGTCGCCTCGATGCAAAGAGCCGTTGGTAGCCAGCGCCCAAAGTCGGGCACATTGGCAAAAGCGGGCAAGACGGTGACCCGCATCATCTGCTTCACCCTATTCCAAATCACCCGAAACTTGGGGCCAACCCGTGGGGAGCCGTGCGTTCATGTCAGCACCAATCACTATCAGGGTAGCAGACGAGTACTGGCGTAGGTGGCTCTCAAGTTCATCCAGAAATCGCTGGCCGGCCTCAGCCAAGGGCGAGAGAAGAAGTCCCCGTTCAAACACCCATGCGGGAGGGGTACATGGTGGTCCGTGAGGTCATACACTGGGCCCTGCACGAAGCGATGCAACTCGAGGACCACTTTGTCACCAGTTCCGTCATTGGCAGTAGAGTCTCGCGGGGATCGGCTGCGATTGACAGGTTCCGGCGGCGGCGGCCCAAACGGCCCAGGGCCTTGGGGCGGTTCCCCCGGAGGATCAGGGGATTCCGGAGCATGATCATCAGACGTAGACCCGTCTCCTGCGTCCGGGCCCCCATCATCCTCGCTGTGGTCCGAATTCTGGGAGTCGCTGGTGGATGAGGCGAGGGCCTCGGTATAGGTCGCATCACCACTGTGAGTGTCTCTCCATCGTAGATCTCAAGCCATCCTCCACCACAGCTCTGGCCTCCCTGGACGACAATGCTGAAACCATCAACAGCCTCAAGCTCCAGGCTCTTACATAGTCACCTGGGTGGAATCTGCCGTTGGCTGCCGCAGTCCAACAATATCCTCGCCCAACCGCTCGGAGATCCAGGAAGCCAATACGAGTCTGGTCCCTCGGAAACTCGGCGGGGTCAACAGCGGCAATGACTGGGTGGACCCGGCGTCCTCTTATGTAGAGTCTTTCCGGGCGATGTGTGGGTGCTCGCAACCAAAACTCGTTCATCGCCAGCCCAAACAATTGGCTGGCCACCACTGTCGGATTGGAGGGGCTTGCCCGGTTCACCTCACGTAGGGCCGACCTCTCCTCCATCTGAAACTCAACGAAGCGACCAGGCAGGTTGCTGGGATGGGCAGTGTCTGGGTTCCACAGGTCACTGTCATCATATCTCTCAGTGACGTCACTGGCCCACTCAATCGCGTAATCACGTCACCGCGTCTCAGGACCTTAATCAAGGTTCCATTCCCAACCCAGACGTACGCATCATGTGCCATGGGGAGCAGGGAGCCACCGACGTACACCTCAGCATTGTCGTCGAATTCGATTCTCGCATGTCCCAGCACAAATCGCCTTGAAACCTGGCCCTGCGCAAAGACTGAGAAAAGTCGCGGTCAAACCGACCGGCATCAATGACAACCGCCTTGTTGTTGGTGGCCAGGATCCCTGCAGGCAGTAGCAGGTAGCTGCCAAAGTCCTCGTGGATCTGGGGCTGCAGGGCAACGGGCTCTGTCAGGTAGTCCGTGTCCAGGCTTCGGGAAGCATCAACAATGATGTCACTCAGACGCTGACCGGTGAGGGGGAACATCAGGGCAACATCCAATCTTTCAGGCTCAAAGCCCGGGCTTCCCACCCACAATCAAATATGAGTGGTACGAAGAGCATTGTCCTCAATCTCATGGAACTCAATATCTTCCTCGTCATCCTCAGCCTCGTCGACGGGGTCCGGCGGGGCCTGATGGACTCTGGGCGGGCAGTTTTCATAAACACGGGACGGCATAGCTCCTCCACTCTCAACTCTCAACCCATAGTCGCCATCTCCCGGACGTAGTAGCAGCTGTTCTCTGGGCGTCAGCTGCCCAGCCGCCCAAAGTTCCAGGTCGGTCGGGTGACGCCAGGAGCTGCCCTCAACAGGACCTCATGCGACCCGGGATGTCTCGCGGGGCCCCATGGGCTGGGCTCCAAATGCCTGCAACGAGAATGCCTTGCAGCACCCAGGGCATCTTGGCCCGTCGCCCGGGGAGCCGTCCAAAAGGCTGTGAGCAGGCCAGCAATATGACACGGGCCGCGCCCCAAAGTACACGTAGTGTGTTGCCGAAGCTCACCACGCTCGGCTCCACAATCTCCGCCAGGAAAACCACAATGTCCTGGAGGATCGGGAGGACAATCGCAATAACGTCCATCAAGTCAAAAATCGAGCCATAGGAGGAGGCAACAAAGTAGTACATCTCCTCGATTGACCGCGTGCCGTTCAGTGCCGCTCGGAGCGATCTGGTGGACTGACCGAAAAAGCCACCAAGTTTGAGGTCGCCTGCCTCATCATATTTTGGCCGCGAGCCATGCAGCGATATGCCGCCCCACTCGCCATACCATCCTCGACCACGGTCACCACGGTCTACTCTTCGTCCGCCGCCGTTTCTTTGCGGAGGCCGCTCAAAATGTCCGCCTCGTCGGAATCGCTGTCGACCGTCATGGACTCGGCCAAAGCGTCCTCCCTGGCCTTCTCGAGCTTGTCCGCCAAAGTCCTTCCAGACTGTGGAAGGCCAGGTAGATCGGCCACCGGGTTCTCCGTCCTGGCCATGAGCTGTGCCCATTCCGTCTCGGCCTCCTCGTCCTTTTCCGCATGCGCCACTGCTCGGGAGCGCTTGCCTGGGTTCAAGAAGAGGTCCTGCAACTCCGCGATGGCTTCCTCCTTCATCCGCTGCTGCTCCGAAGCGTCGGTCTGGATCTTCTGGAGGCGCTCGTAGTACCTCGTTCTCTCGCGGATAAAGCTCTGCTTCATCTCGACCTGAAACTGCTCCCACTGGCCCTTGGCAGCTTCTTTGTCCGCTTCCCCTTTTCGCATTCTGCCATCTGCACGGCGGATCGTGTTGGCAAGGCGCTGGATGTAGCGCGTGAGGCTTCCCGAGTCTCCAGTGTCGTCTGCAGCAAGAGTCCAGTCCGCCTCGGGGGTAGGCTGCGGCCTCGTGGCACGGTAGTCCATGCTCTCGTAGCTGGGGAATTTGTGTTCGGCAGCATCTCGGTTCTTCCATGGCTGCTTGTTCTTGCCCTTGTTGCCACCCTGCTCGTACCATCCATAATACACTGAGGCCGAGGATCGCGAAGCATCCTGCCATCAATCGCCTTTGCCTCCCCACTGTGGCTTCTTGCCCATGTGTCGGGCTTCTCTATACTGCGGCCTGCTGTGATGTTGAATCAGCAGCCGCAAGTCACGCACAGAGGGCTGAAAGCCTTGTGCCCTTACTTTGTGCACTCGGCCTCTCGCGGCCGATCGGCGGGCTCGCTGTCGGCGATGCCAGTTTGGGGACCGTGTCCCACGTCGCAGCCCGATGGCTGCAAAGGCGTGCCTACTTGATCAGCACTGGGGCTGCCGGCTATATAACTGCGGACTTAGCTGCAGCCTCGCTCCGAAACCCTTGACCATATATATATATATATATATATATATATATATATATGTATATGTATATGTATATGTATATGTATATGTATATGTATATATATATATATATATATATATATATATATATGCACACATACATGCACGCATACATACACACATACATGCATACATACATACATACATACAGCCTTAACAAGGCGTCACGAAAATTACAGACAGACAACAGACACGCAAGCGGAAAGCTAAACAGCCGCACGGACAGATGGAGAGACGGTGATGTCTGAGTCTAACGGTCATTGCCAAGAAGGCACCCTTTGGCATTGGAGACGATGCGAAAATCGTGCGATATCTGCTCGACGCCGTGTCTCTGTGCCCAGGTTCTGCAGAATCCTTGCCCAGCCAAACTGCACATGCAAGTAGCACTCGAGACGACCAGGCAGCGCAGGCAACGCAGCCAGAGGTGTCTGCGACATTCGCTGTGCTGGAGGCTGCACTTCCTCATGTGCCACACCGAGTCTCATCTTTTGATGTTTGGGCTGTGCTTTGTTTCCCACTGGTCAAGTAATTATGCTCATATCATATCCTGTAGCTCGCGGGCGCGCTGTCATGAATTTGTAGGTGCATGATCCGAGACAGCTGCAGAAGCTGCAGCATGCAGACAAGAAGGACCCGGAACTCGGACCTGCAGTCGACGTATTGGACGGCAGTGCGAACTCTTACCGCAGCCGAGGAACGGGGATCCAGGGCAAGTACGCGTAGACCTCCCCGCAGCGCATCAGGACACAGGATAGGTCGCATCGCAATTGCTGGGGGCCCCTCCACGGCAAAGAACTTGAGGATGGTGAAGGGCTCCACCATCTCTGTGAGCTCTTCAGGGACAGCTGGCCAGGTCACGTCGAGTGGCCTCGAAAAGGTCTCAGTGACACCTCCACCCGCATTTAAATCACAGTGCATCCCAGAAGCAATGCTTGGCCGTACGGACACTCGTAGCTTAACAGCCTTCGAAGATCCATCCAAGCAAAGAAATAGGCATGGGTGAATAATTTTTTAGGCCTAATCCCGGCCTCTTTTGCATTAAAGCTGCTGAGGCCCTGCACGCCCAGGAGGGAGCATGCAGCATCTGAAGCTTTGTTGCACTGCAGTGCAGCACCAGCCTGTCTTTGAAGGTTCTGAGACTCGCCTGGGCACCAAGTCGAATTCGGGGAGGGAAATTGTTCAGCCTCAGACTGGATCTCAGGCTGTGTCCTCAAACAAGGCTTCCCTGTCTTCGTCGGTTGCGTTTCCATCTTGCCAGAACTCTCGCGTCCACACCTCGACTGCCGGGGTTACAGGAAGGGGTCAACAGCGTATGCGAGCATTGACAGTCTGCTGATGGACGGCTCCAGCGATGCAGCGAATCTGAGGTTTGTGCTCCACAACAGCATCCTGAATGGTAGCTGTGACAGATAAACAGACAAGACTTCCAGCACTAACGGAACGACGGCACCCATGGCGGTGAAGGCGCCGAGCGAAATTCAGGCTTGAGAAGAGGGCGACGAAAGCTAGGGGAAAGGAAGCGTAGCTGGGAGCACGGGGTGACTAGTGAGGCGATGCGAATGACTTGCACGGGGGGACGTTTGACATGAAGACTACAACTGAAAAAAAGGCGTGGAGCCAGATTCTATCTTCGAGTTCTGGTGGCTTAAGCAACAGACTTCAAACAGAAGCAAACTGAGGGACCTTGCGAGGGGGGGGGGAGGGGGAGAGATTTGAGGGTAGGGGGAGGGGCCCCCGCCTCTACCTTATCCCACGCGCCGCAACCTTCAAGGAGGGAGGGGAGCCGCACCTTATCCTTCGAAGATGCTTCATGAACGAGGTGAGGGGGGGGGCACCCCCTCCCCCCCCACCCCACCTTAACTCTTGGACGTCCCACCTGATAAGGTGCAAACCCTGTTTTTTCCCTAGTGCCTCAATACAAGGTGAATTGCTAAAGGACAACTCCCGCAAGCTCAACAGAGCTAGCTTTCGTGACTTTCGGCGAGACCCTGCGCTGTTTTCACTATTGGTAGCCACTTGAAGGTCCTGAAGCCGTCGGAACATCGATCAGAATGGATGCCAATAACGCTTTCGCCATGGCAGCTGGCTGTCATGACAGCCGGTGCATGATCTTATCTAACCTCCTTTCTCCCAGATGTCTAAATTGTGCAGCATCGACAGGAGACCAAACTGCTAAACGAGACAAGCTTCTCGACTAACGCCTGTGCTCCTCGTCGCACAGCAAGCTGGGGGCTGAGGACGTATTCTCGACGAAGTGCACTGAATTAAAGCGGCTGCGAAGATGCATAAGCTGGTCAATCGCTCGCAGCACGAGATTGCACGAGAGAGTGGTGTCTCGGGGTCTTTTGATTCAAGACCTCGGAAAGCAGCTCAAGCTGCCAGGCCAGACCTTCGATGATAACCGGATCAGACTCGAAGAAGCAGCCGCTGCACGCGCTCATGCACCCCTGCCTCGCTCTTGCAGAAGAGTCATTGAGCTTTCTCGGCCATTAAGCTCCACCAACCACTGAGTCCAAAGCCTGCGAGGGGCGACAGCAGCCTCAACGGCCTTCGCCTGTCTCACCGGGTCCCCTCCGGGTCCGCTGCACGTCGCGCTGCCCAGGCGACAGCGAGTGCCCGCTGAGGAGTCCGGCAGACCTGCACAGGAGGAGGAAGCAAAACAGATTGAGGACTGGTACACTGGTCTGACAGTGCTGGCATGTGCTGGCGATGACAACGATGGTGAGCACAGACACGGGGGACAGGAAAGCGATGGCAATCACTCGATGTTTGCCTGAGGTGAACAAGGACCATGGCCACGGCGACATTCAGAGAGAGGCCACACGCGAATCCGCGCTGGGGCAACGAAACCTGGCGCATGTAATACCAGGACGAAAAGATGCAGAATTTGCACTTCTGCAAGTCTCTGTGGAGGACCTGCATGTCGTACTCCTTCTGCCTGTCCTGTCATATCGTCGCGTGGCCAAAGCCAGAAGCTGTTGAACGTCCTCCTCGACTCCGCTATCCCCAAACACAACGGCGAGCTTTGGTGGCGGCTTCCTGGGAGAGGCGAGCACTGCCGCACAGCTGTCCGGGAAGGCTTCCTAGGCTCGGGCCTTCTGCACAAAGCAGAAAGAGCTTTCAGCGAAGCCAGGGAGGCCTGAGCCCGGCTGCCGTTGCTTACAAGACGATGAAAGCTGTCCTTTCCGGCTGGACAGACTGAGGATGACGAAGCAGCCTGCAACGTTCGGCTCTAGCGCTAATGCCTCCGCCTCCGTCTGGAGCTGACCCTCAGCCGAGAGCTCAGGGTCACTGCGAAGACACACGCAGAGATGGCCAGCCTGCATTCAAGACAAGAACCACTTGTTTCTCTCCGTGTCACTTCTTTGTCTCACATGACTCTCTTCGGTGCCTTTCGCAGGGACTGTGTGCAGCTTTGCAGGTCCTTCCACTGCCGCACGGTGACGAAGTTCCGGGATCCTCCGGACGTATCGCCCGGCTTCTCTAAGTGGTCTTCCAGCTCGCCGATGATCTCGGCAAACTGAAGCGCGAACTGATCCATGGTCCGAAGAGCCGCGAGTACATCAGCCGGCTTTTGCCGCAGAAAGACCAGCCGCACGGCTTGAGTTCTCTTTTGCAAGACTCTTCTTGCCTTGTCAAGTCGTCTTTCGCTGATCATCGGCTGCAGAAGCTCCTGGATGTCTTTCAAATGCGAGGCATGCGGCGCTGCAGCTTGGCATCCTTCTCCCGCCGCAGATTGCACAGTTCTCACACGCTGCCGCCAGCACTGCCCAAAGGCAGTGAGGCCGAGACCCGCCTGGCTCCAAGGGCGATGTCGACGAAACCCGAAACCTGCTGATGGCAGCGCTGGCTTCTTGCCCGCATCACGCGCATCGAGGCCAGATCCGAGCCCTCTGAGAACAGCAAGGCTGGAGGGTTGCATCGCAAGATGCCGAGATCGCTGAGACCCTGAACCGGCCTGGGCCCTGGCGAAGGGGTTTAAGTTAAGGCAAAGCACGGCATCCCTACGACCCCTCCGCATTCCAACAGCCTTCCAAGACTGCGAGAGACTGCGAGTACGAGGCTTTTCGTCCGAGCTGCCTTCGACAGAGGCGGAACACGCTCTTCGCTTGTTGCAATGATTCGCGGCGCCACTTTGGGGTGAGGTTTGGATTCTTTGAGGCTCGCAGGCTTTACAGTTTGTCGGGTTTGGTGCTTAGGATTTGCAGGGTTTAGGGTCTGGGGCTTGAGTGTCTTTGCTCTGCATCCTACATGGCCAGGAACATACCGGAACAAGGTGCAGAGAGCTTGGGCTTCTATGGCTTCGAGTGAAACGGTTCGGTGAAACTTGTGTGACGTGGTGAAACGGCCAACAGCTCGCTGTGAATTCACCAGTCCGCGACCTCATTCTCATAGCCTTCCGGCCACCTCGCAGCCACCCCGAGGTGTGGCGAGCGCTATCTTCTTGGCACTTGCGCCTCCGCAGAGCGCAGCTCTCGCCCTCGTCGTCGAAGCCGAGCCACTGCTCCTGCGCGTTCTTCTTTCGCACATCACTCAGCCCTGTGGCCCGCGGGCGGCCTCGCTGGTAGCATCTGGAGCCGGAGCCTCTTCGGCCTTCGCCTGAAAGTCCCAGAGCCCAAATGATGCGACGTTTCGCAGCCTCCCCCTGAGCTCCAGCGGCCTCGGTTCGCGAGGCGACTGACTTTCGGCTCTCGCCTCAGTCACGGGCGCAGGCCTCTGCTTCGGGCTTTGTGATGCATCCATGCAGCTCTCCGAGCTCTCCGCCAGCGGCGGACGCAGAAGTGTCGGGTGGCACGTACTTGCCGCCCTTCTGGCAGAAGGTGATGACCTTTAGGGGCGCGCTTCAACCTTGTGCTAGTCATGTAATGCCTCGACACCAACCATACATTGATGCTGGTGGGTGGCGTTTTTCAGGAAGACGTCAAGCCGGGTGGTCAAGGAAACGTTCCTGCAGAACCTTCCCAAGCCAACCGAACCGCAACATTCGCACAAACCGCAGCAAGACGGGCTCCAAACTTGTAGTCCCTTCGCGTCGTGAACTCTGCCATCAGGAACTTAGCGCAGCAAGGCAACAGAGAGCGCTTTAAGCGCGAAGCGCCAAGGGGGGGGGGCGAGCCCGCTTCGCTTTTTGGGGCGACCACGAGAAGTCGCATAAACTCGGCCTCGGGACCAAACTGGAGGCGGCGAGAGCTGACAGCTCGGACACAAAGAGAGACCTTCACTTCTGAGTCCCGCCACGAAGGTCACCTCTGTCTCCATGAACCTCACAGTCAGCTGTCAGCAGTCAGTCGAAGCTTGGCAGTCGACACTGCGCTCGAGGCCGGCAGATTTGCAAGCGAGGTGCTCCAGAATGGACACGTTCTCGTCAAGCCCACTAGCCTGTTTGTCGCGCATCGTTGATCGCTTGCTGTCGTGCAGGTTAGATCATGTTAGGTCTATCACTCGTTTCGACTTTGCTTCGAGTGTTTATCGGTGTGTTTCAACGGGCTGGGAAGCCAACGCGTTCTAAGTTGTGTTGCTTGCAACTTAATGTAGGCTGGAGTCTTGCATCGGTCGTTCAAAGCCTCAAGCCCCCGAGCTGGATGTTCAACCCTTCTGTCAAACAAAGCTGAAACTTTTACACAAGGTACATAGATGGAGGAGGCAGAGGGAAGAAGCAAACAGAGATGTGAGGTGTGAAGCTGCAAAGAAATAGCAAAATTGCGGAAGTTTGACTCACAGCGAATCTGCCCAAGTCTTGGACATGGCAACCTGCACCGCGCCTCCTTCAGGTTGTCCGGCCTTTAACACAGGAAGCTTAAGCTCGAGACTCAGCAAGTCAGCAATCCTAAGGAGTCTTTACCTCGTCTTGCGTGGGTCTGGGGGACAGGCTCCCAGTGCAGGGTCTCCATGACAGGAGGTGAAAACACCTACGAGGAGAACCGTTGAAGCTCCGATCGCTGCCCCGAGGGTTGTAAAGGGCTCCGAACCTGGGCCAGAATTCTCAAGACTTCGACGACGTCGACCATCAAGTTGATGCAGCCCAGGTCTTCGGCCTGCTTGTCGGAGTGTGCAGAAGGACCGAAGGCAGCGACCGGGGCCCCAACCGGAGTGCGCACTTCCTTCTCCTCTTTCTTATCCTTCTTTTCCTGTGCTGGGCGACTTTGGTGATTACTTGCACCAAGAAGACGTCGTTGGCCTTGTCTTTCCGCTTCTTCTCATCTTTCGCACTACCGCCTGGCCAAGGCAACACGCAAAACCACCGCGTCTCAGAGAAGGGAGAGAGAGAGAGAGAGAGAGAGAGAGAGAGAGAGAGAGAGAGAGAGGGAGAGAGAGAGGAGAGAGAGAGAGAGAGAGAGAGAGAGAGAGAGGAGAGAGAGAGAGAGAGAGAGAGAGAGAGAGAGAGAGAGAGAGAGAGAAAGAGAAAGAGAGAGAGCGAGGGAGGGAGGGAGGGAGGGAGGGAGGGAGGGAGGGAGAGAGGGAGTGCGTCTTAAATGACACGAGCCCAATGCGCACCTTAATGTCATGATGCATTAAAAAATGCTACGATGCCGAATGGCATTGGCTCCAGACTGGACCAATGCTTGGTGTTACAAAGGAATGTCTGCTTGAGTGTGACGGGGGAAGGTGATTGATCTTGGTTACTCCTTAGGACTGCATTACACTGTTGATTTTTTCATGGTAGCGGCTCTGGAATCAGGGACTGAGACAGAATGGAGTTCGGAACAAGAGGGATTGGCGGAGAGACCAAACTGTTCCCGCCAACAGTGTACCACGGAGAGTTGGAGAAATGGGAAGACTGGTCGTGGCAGTTGAAGCGATACGTAGGATTGTACAAACCAATGGCAAAACTGCTAATGGACGATGTGGAAGGATCGAATATTGCCATCAGTGACGATCTGTGTGAAGCGTTCAATGCTCAACAGAATCGTAGCCAGAATGATCAACTTTCACTGTTCTCGAGACTACATCGAAAAGAAACTCCATGAGCTAGAGACCGGCGAGTTCAGGGCGGAGCCCTTGAGCGAGGTCCTCTCACGGGACGAGATAGATCCAGAGACTCTGGTCCCGCAGAGGGATAGCAAGGGCACGATAGTGCTAAACAAGGCGAGCTCCAAAGGGGCCCTTCCGGCGAACCCGGAGCAGCTCCGGCTACGGCTAACGGTGATGTCTAATGCCCAGATCATGATACAGCTCCATCACCCATGCCGTGTGGAGCTGCGGGATACCAATCAGCAGCTTTTTGAGAAATATAGAGATTATCTTCTCGGCGATTACTGCTATGGACTTAGGTCCAACGAAGCTAGCGGCTCCTTGGCTCCACCTTGGACCTTGGTGCTATCCTACGAGAGGGCTATCCGAAAATTTGCATACAAGCAGATGGCTATCCTCTCCATGAGCTGTGCTGATGCTCTGGCCCTTGCTACGAAGGAGAGACATTTCACAACACCCGTTTCGCTATGTGCCAAGAGACCACAGCCGTGGAACTCGGAGACCACCCAGGCTACGGATAGCAAAGGTGGCGGCAAGGGGCGAGGCAAGGGCAAGGATAAGGGCGGCAACAAGAAGCTCAAAACTGGCAAGGAGAAGGAGAGAGAATGCTACAGCCGGACAGCCGACGGCAAACCCATTTGCTATCGGTTCAATGCTAAAAATGGATGCAAGAAAGGCGAGAAATGTCACTTCGTACACGTGTGTACGAAGTGCCTCGGCGACCACACGGCTATCAAATACCCGGAGGGCAAGCCCGAGCAGGCGGCGCCGTTAACTTCTCTGGCCGGTCCGCAGTTTCGCGAGGCCCCGTGGAGAAGAAGTACTCACGGCTAAAGAAAGAGACCGAGCTATTGCTGGCAACATTTTTGCTGATTTTTGTTGGGATATCGCTAGGCTCGGGGAACAGAGCCGGGTTAGCTTCCTACTGCTAGAGCAGCCGGAAGACCTGGGTGCGATGCCGGAGGGCGAGAGGCCGGCTGGCATGTGGCAATGGCCACAACATGCTGAACTCGTACGGCTAGGCCTGGTTTCCGCGGCATTTCACAGGGATAACTTCGTCCCCGGCGACGACGACTGCATAGTCAGTTCTCGCCGCCTGAAAAAGCTCGATCTACGAATCCCCTGAATGAGATCATGGGCTTCCGACTGAGAGGAAACCATCTGGAGAGTGATCTGAGTGAGTTCATCATGCTGAAGAATAGACATGGGAAGACGACTGGTAGACCGCTTGACAATGACCTTCTTGTCACGTTGCTAATGCAGAAGACTGTTGGTCCTTTGCAGCAGCATCTGAGGTTGAATGTTCGGAACATCAACACGTTCAATGAAGCACTGGAAATCACCTCCAGTTACATCAACAGCAGACACCTGACTGTCCCAAGTAGGAGCACTGAAAGGAAGGAAAGGAATGAAAGGAAAAGGTTACAAAGGTGGAAAAGGAATGGAAGGATTCAAAGGAAAAGGACAGGAATGTTTTCTATGTGGTGACCCAAACCACCGAAGCAAGGAATGCCCGAAAGAAAAGGGACAAATGTCCGCCGTGACAGAAGAGGAACAAGGAGCTGGCAAATTAAATGGCATGATGACTGGAAATCAGTGGAGTTCGGATGACTGGTCATATGATGATTGGTCTTTGGAGGAACAGGATTGGAATAGTGAGTGGATTGGTTCCGTCGATGATTGGTCTGGTGACTGGTCTTGGCACGAGGACGATTGGCGTTCTTGGCCTGAGGACTGGTCCCGGAACACTCAGGAATGGTGGAGTCCTGCTGAGAATCAGCCACAGAGCTCGACCGGTGCCGCGAGCTCAGGTTCGAATGTCCCTCAGGACGCCGCCAAGAATGAACTACCACAGAATGTGTCAGCTGTGACTTTTGTTGATTCGTCGGATCAGAGTGTGCCCAGAGTTGCTAGGACTGTTCGGGGAACCAAACCTCTGATGACGAACTTGTTCGTTGGAGCGTGCTTGTTGATTGGTGCATTGAGTTCCGGAGCGCCACCAATGCCGAACCCAGTGTGCCAAACTTGAAGAAGTTACCTGGGAATGATCTGAATGGTTTCGACCACAGCTTGATTGAGTTTCACATGCAGGCTGGACTGGTCAACAAAGCATGGATAGTGTTCGACAGTGGGGCTTGTGCGAATTGTTGTCCTGAACGGTTTGCGCCGGAGTACCCGGCGCTGCCTTTGAATGAAAGTGCACCCGCACTGCGGAGCTTGTCAGGAAAGACACTGATGTGCAAGGCAGGAAGATGGTGCAGCTTGACTGTGGAGAATGGCCACTCGTTGAGTGTCCAATTCTACGTGTGCATTGGCATACCGTTTCCACTGGTCAGTGTTGCCCGACTGTTGTTGCAAGATTTCTGGACTGTAATGGCGAAAGATTACATGGCGTTGATTGACCCGACTGGCAATCCTGTGCCGATTGCGCGACCAGGAACACTGGTGTACTTAAAACCGACTGTGATCCCTTACAGCGTTGCAAATGCGGCAGGATTGGCAGCAATGTGCTTGCCAGAGGTAATGTCGGGGATTGAAGAAGAGCTTGGTGCCTTGGAGTTGCACGGTGTGTCGGACGTGCATGACTGTTCGATTGGTCACCTTTGCCAGATTGGTGCCTTGATTGCTTCAGCTCAAGGAACGAGATCCTCCGAAGGTGGAAGACAAGACACCTGGGAGGTGAATGAGACTGAATTGAAGTTGATTCACCATGCGAAGGTGAAGGTCTGGAGGAATGAAATGTTGGACCCTCGGAGTAAACTGGCAAAAATCGAACGCCGGTACCTGCGCTTCGCCTCACTGGCGAAAGACTGACGCACAAGCTCTATCGAGATGATTCGACTGTCACTGTCAGAGATGCCAATTTCTTGACAATGACGAATACCAGGCCGCGTGATGAAAAGGATTGGCGAGGACGAGTGGACTTCGGACTGTCGCATAAGCCTCAGCGCAGGCATGCGCAAAAGAGTGCGCCTCGTCCGCGTGACCCAATGGTTGGCATAATGCCTTCACCGGCGAATGCTGACATTGCTGAAATGGAGCAGAAAGATGAGACTGCTCCAAAGGTCCGAGCCAAGACTGGCGACGAGCCAGAACAGTTGGATCGCAAAGTGCGAGTGAGTCGGAATGTTGAGGAGCCTGAGCTTGAGAATGCGTTGCGGTCACTGCCTCAACATGGAGAGAAAATGAAGGAGTTACTGTTGCAATTGTTCAATCTCGAGGATCCTGAGACTGCAGCACAGAGGACTGCAGCTAGATGGATCATCCTCCCTCGATATTGGATAAGAATGCATCATGAAATGCGTGATTGCTACTTCCATCCGGATGATGCTACTTCGCCAGTTGATGGACTGTTGAGTGATCACTTGTGGGGTGATAGGTACACAATGTTCTTTGACTCGAGTGATCCCACAATGATCGATACTGGCCATCAAAATGAATGGGCAGACAGCGAATTGCCGGATGGATCGGTGAAGAAATGTGAGGATCCACGGAGTCCCACTGGACACAAGTGGACTGGACACACGTTGTTTGTGCCACTGGATCGCCCTACTGCTGGTGAGAATGCCGAGCAGGAGACTGAGGATAGGAGTGCGTTGAAGCCAAACATGCTGAAGGTTCCTGGAGAACCCTCATGAAAGGCGATTGCACGAACTGACTCATCTCCCGTACCGGGATTGGTGCGAGCACTGCGTGAAGTCGAAGGGAATACAGAGTCACGCAGTGAAGAAGAAGAATGACCGACAACCAGTGATCCAGGTTTTATGTCGACTGAAAATGACTTTCCGAAGTGCACTGTTTTGAATGCCACAGATGTCCAGACTAGATATTCAATGGCTGTGGTACTGGTTTCGAAAGGAAGTGTCGAGAAATATGAAGTTGCGGAATTGCGGAAGTTTGTGTTCGAGATTGGCCGTACGTTTGGGATTGTCCAATATGACACGGAAGCGCCACTGAAGTCAATGGCGCCTGACCTCTGCAAGGTCATCGGAGGACTGTCCATGAAAGCAGCACCGACTGGTCACTCCCAAAGTCAGGGAAGTGTTGGGAAGGCCCAGTGGACTCTATATGGCCAACTGTGGACACTGCTGTCTCCATTGGAGGAATCGACTGGTGCGAAGGTGAGATCGGAATCGCCACTGTTATAACCTGGAGTGTGAAAGATGCTCAATGGCTTGTCAACCGGTACATGATTGGAGCTAATGGCAAGACTGCCTACAGCCGTCGTCGGGGTCGTGAATACA